AGAATATAACTACATGAACAATTATTATTTTGAATAACGTCAACATTATAATATCTAGATACAGTCTATAAATTCTAATACTTGTATGAGCTTGTTGCAATATTAATATATCCGTTTAACTTACATGAAACATCATATAAGACATATAAGTGAATTGAGATACATGTATGACGAAAATTTGTATAATTAGTAATACTGCAATAATTATTAAATAAAATAATAAATTATATAATGTAATTATTTCGTCAGTAGATTGATGTTGAAATCATACAAAATTCTTCACACACTCTTGAAAAAGTTCTTTTAATTGTTACATATTCAATTTTGTATATGTTAATTGTATGTACATAGTAAAACATATTAATAATTCAGGAAAACTAGAAGATTAATCTGAGAAATTTACCTCTGTTGTCTGTGATTTCCAGGAAATTGCCAATATGTAATACCTTGATGATTACTTGTATTGACATAATTTATTTGATTGACAAATGGTTGCATTATTCCATTTGCGTTATTATCTGCAGTTCTTTCTTCACACACTCTTAAAAAAGTACTTTTAATTGTTACATATTCAATTGTGTATATATTAATTGTATATAATAGAATATATTAATAATTTATGATAAGTCAAAAAAGCTAATATCTAGAAAATTTACCCGTGTTGATATTCTCGATTTTCAAGAGAATACAAATGTATATTATGAGAATTAGGACCGGTACGATTATTTTCATCGGCAGATTGTTGTATTATTCCATCTGTGTTATTACCTTCAGTTCTTTCTTCACACACTCTTAAAAAGTACTTTTAATTGTTACATATCCAATTTTATATGTGTTAATTGTACATAATAAAATATATTAATAAGTCAGGAAAATAAAAGACCAATATCCGGGACATATTTACCCCTGTTGATCTTGATTTCCAAGAAATTGCCAAGGTGTATCTTCATGATGAGATCTTGAACCAACACAATTATTTTCGTCGACCGACTGTTGTATTATTTTATCTGCGTTATTTTCTCCAGTTCTTGCTTCATATCCAGAATACTCATCTATATTATGACATTCTTTCAAGTGAAATATTAAGTTATCTATTCCTTGATATATTTTAATAATGCGATCGCAACTTTGTAGCTTGCATATTGCATGAATTTTTTCGAATGTATAGTATTTTGATAACCAGGTACAAGCAATTTTTTCTTGTAATGCAGTTACTATCTCTACATGATGATGAATCAAATGTTTCTCTAAACGCGGTACAAAATAAGCATGAGCAATGCTTATGCTACAATCATTGCAACGTGCAATGAACCCATCTTCTTTTGAAAAATTTTGCCAAAGTAAATTGGTTTCCACTTTGTTTTCCCATTTTAAGACTTCTTCTTTATAACATATGTTGTGAATTTTATGTAAATGTGTGCTCATAAAGTTATAATTTACAAAAAGAAACTTTTTTACATACATTGCAGTTAATTTGAGAATTGTTTGATGTGCTAAAATATTTCCACATCCAATTGCGTGTTGTGTCTATTTGTGCTGCCGTTACATCCGAATGACAACTTGGACCAGCATTATTATTATCATATATAAATTGATGTATTATTCCGTTTGCGTCATTATCTTCAGTTCTTTTTTTATGTTTGGAATAGTCACGTATATTATGATAGTTAAGCAAGTGTAATATTAAGTCAAATTGTTTTACAAATACTTGAAAAGTGTAACGGCAATTTTGTAGCTTGCAGGTTGCATGATGGTTCGTGAAAGTGAAATATTTCGATAGCCAGGTACAAGCAATTTTTTCTCGTAGTGCTGTTACTATTTCCAGATGGTTGGTTTTCAGGTCCTCTAAAGTTGTATACTGTACGAATGTATTTGCCACAACATTTGCATCGTGCACTGTACCCGTCTTGTTTTGAAAAATATTGCCAAACTGAGTTGATTTCCATCTTGCTTTTCCATGATATGTTATCTTCTTGCTTAAGTATACGGTGAATATGATGTAAATGTACTTTTAAATTAAAACTTGGTGCTCTTTTGAAAACGACTTTACAAGTTTTGCACTTGACATCACAATCGTTCAATTTATTAAAATGTTTCCACAACCAACGAGTCTTTTTACCCATTTTAACTGTCACGCAATTATGTATATCCGAACACTACCACAGAGCGTACTAAATGTAACGCACCGAACTAACCGATTATATCTTTATCAAATATAAATATTGATATTATTTGAACCTTGCTAATAGGTAAGTCAGTTAGTTTTGTTTTTAATTGCTTAATCCTAGTAACCGGTCATTTTTGTAAAAATACATGTTTTGTCTACATACATTGTCAACTGAAAAGTAAAGTTTAGCTGTAAGGTTATCATAAGAGCTTGTAAGCGATGAAAATATTTTCTTTCACTTTTTCCCTGTAGAACGATTTTAATTATT